TAACACCAGACGATGTACAAGAAGAGCTGAAACTTTTCGCTAAATTTTGCAACGAAATGGTATTATCCCATTGGTATGCCAGACTCCGATCGCGCGGTGGCATTCAACACCCATAAGCTGGACCGCCCGTCCACCACTGCTCAGATGCTGATTACATACGAGATATCATTCATAGCTTTGAGATTGCACGTCCAGTAGCCAAAATCAGGGACGTGAGGAGCGGGCTGGTAAGCGCTTTGGATATGGTGTTGTTGTGTGAAGCGTATCATGAACAGCACCCCAGGGACGCAACACTACGTAAGTCGGGCGCCCCGACATCCTATAAGCTATTACATTGGCTAGCGCACAGCCTGGGGGAGCAATCGTATGAAACCCAGCCAGCAATGGAGTTGGCAGGTATGGAAGCTATACAAACGTGGAGCGCTGAGACAACAATTCGACATCGATGAAGCAGCGCTTGCGAACTTCGCCCAAGACTTCGAGCATACTGTGACCAAGCGACTCGCAAACGGTCGAAGTAAACTGAGGTCAAACCTCTCCGTCCAAGAACTCTTGAAAGCGGTAGAATACAACACGCAGACCAACCCGAAGGCCAGACAATATAGTAACGCGAACGAACAGCCACCCGAGACTTCCCCTTCAATGCCCCCGCAATAGAATCCCAGATCGAAGAAGCCGAGGCCCGTCTCAACATCACTTTGCCCTCCGACTACAAAGCTTTCCTCCGCTTCAGCAACGGCTTTGGTTCCGCATGGGGTCACCCACTAGGCGACTTCCAAACACCCCCCACTCTCGACAAACTACGCTGGCTCGACCCCACTGAAGAAGACTACTTCACTGATCTCTCGCTCGACCTACCAACCCGATGGGATAAATGGCCATTCGCCCCACCTCCAACAGCCAAGGCCTATGCCTGCGACGACGTTTCGGAGCATTTTCTCATTGGTCGTGCCTTGGAGATTGGTACACAGGAGATTGATAATACGTGGCTCCTCCCGCCTTCCACCATCATGCCGATAAAGCAGGCTGTGAAGAAGATGCTGGACGACGGGAGCTTAGGTGAACGCGAAAGAATAGTGTGAGAGCCGCAATAAGGGATTTCGCGGGTAGCGAAGAGGAGTGGGAAGAGATGGAGTGGGCGTGTGCTACTTGGGCTAGTGGAGGGGTGGCGGCTATGTATGTTTATCCGGGGTTTAGGACGTGGCTTGAGGATGTTGTGGAGAAGGGGAAGGTTGGGTTGGATGGTGAGGAGGAGGAAGAGAAAGAGAATTTGTTTAAGCGTGGCATGTGGTTGGGGAGGGTGTTTGAGACAAGAGAAAGTGGGGGCAAGTTTGACGCGGATGGGGATGGGGAGGAACTGCCGGGGTGGTTGAAGGATGCTATCAGAGCGGCGATGCCGACAAGAAGGTAGCCAAGACGAGATTCAGCTCGGACTGAGTCGCTCCAAAAGACAGCAGTTTCTGGATATTTGGCTTGAGATAGCTCTTTTGAGGAGATTCCGTGCTTGTAGAGAGCGGCCGACGGTGGTATAAAAGCCGTCCTTCTTCCTGTCGATCCCCTTCTTCATATCTCATAAAATACCCAGACAATTACCAAATGAATCTCTGAAGTCACCATGGTTGTCTCTCCTCCGCTCCTCGGTCCCAAAATTTGGAGAGGCGTGATGCATAATCCCTTCCTTCGTTCAAAGTGCGCGGTTCCACGCTCATGTGTGCGAGACAGTATCATAAAAACAAAAGGAGTTGACTGAATGGTCAAGTTTCTGTCGCCTCGAAACAAGTACTCAACAACGTCTTGACTCAGAACAGTACCAGAAAATTTCATGAGCCGCCTCTGTCTTCCAAACTTGATGGCAGTCAGGATGATGAGCTGTCTACGCTGGTCTCGGAATAAAAAGGCCTGCAGCAAGCTCACGTGATACACCGAAAACATCAAGCGCTGGTATTATGATTCTGGAGCGCTGACTAGGTATACATACCGCACCTCTTGAGTGTTTCTCCTACTATATCAACATCCTGGATCGAAACCGAAAAGATAGATGGGACATCTTCATGTCCTGAGCGTCTTGTTCTTCTCTCAAAACACATAGGTAAACATTCCATGGTTGGAAGAAAGAAGACTAAAAGTCTATGCATTAGTTGCTCTGAGCATCCCACATCTACACTTCCAAACACTCTTACTTTCTTCCCGGAACAGCGAAAAGTCATGGCTATCGATACATGGACCACAAAGCCTATCATCACATTACGCAGAGTGATACAAAATGGGGCTTGATTACATTGATGATCTTCTCCGCGGCCCCCGACTACGGGAAGTGTGTGTGTGTGTGTGTGTGTGTGTGTGTGTGTATATAAAAACGCCTTTCATACCTCACCGTTCTTCTCCTACATCCCACAAGCTTTTGCTTGTGTTCCAAAAGATTATGGCAGCACTGCGATGTCTGCGTCTCCCTCTCTCTTCCAAAACCATCTTAAAGTTGTCGCATGTCTCTGGCCTGGTTCTCGAAAATCGTACGAGTCCTGACTATGTCTTCGGTCGCTAGAACATCAAGGTATATCAAAATTGATCCCATGAAAGCATGTTCCAGATCTCAGTCAGAAGACAAAATTCTTCCTGCTGCACTTTCAATTCTACACTCTTTCTCCAAAGCAAAACTGCATATTACGATGTCTGCTTCTCCGCCCTTTCCCCCAAACCAGTCGGAGTTCGCTCATGCTTGTGGAGATGTCGCCGCCAGCCTACCCTTCTATGAAAGCATAGAAGGTTCCTCATCCACGAGATACGTTCTTGCGACCTACAGCATACAGCCTCGTCTTTTCTTCCAAGCCAAAGGCAAACATCGATATGTCTGCGACTTCCGCTGCTTTTTCAAAATACGATTTGGCATTGGCATGTTCCTGGAGAGTTTGGCGATAAAATGGGGACGAAGAAAAGCATGTTCATAATCACCATTGGTTCAACTTGATGTGCCTGTCCGTCTTTGAACTTGCAACTATCCAAATGATCGAAGTACAGTTGCATGGGGAGGAGATTGAATCCGCACATATACCGCAGAATGGAAATTGGAGAGCCTGAATCAATATCTCGAAGGATCATGTGCGTCCTCCCTGCGCTAAGCGGGAGACGTATATAAGACTAGCTTTTTCTCCCTCACCCCATTCGCTAAAATCACCTCTCATGGGTTTGGAGAACCAAAACATGTAAATCAAGACACTATGAAGATTAGCGAGAACCATAACGATCGATGAGACCCTCAATGTCTGGCCTGCTTCGACTGTTTCCGAGCTATGTTGAAATACTGTATTCCGCTCTTCCTCCTACTATTTCTTCCTGACCTACTTTCTCGGGTCAAAAGCCCAAAAGCGTCCTTGAAGAAATCGATGAGAAGCGAACGACTAAAATGTACAGTTAGCTAGAAGCAATGTCCGTCTTGCGCTGAGCTGAGCTACAAAATGCAAGTGTTTCGTCATATGCTCTCCTTTGCGCTACTTCTCTACATCCTACACCCCAGCCAAAAGACAAAAAGGTCAGAATCGCGGTGTCCATGGGAAGCAGACCAACCAAAAATCGGATATCAACTATTCCATGTCTGAGTTGTTCCACTTCTAAAAATCTTACACTCCAGAAGATGTTTCCCATCTTCCCTCTCGTTACTATTTCTCCGCAATCCACATTCTGAAGGATTCTTCGAGATAAGCAGGCAGAAGAGGAAACGAAAAGCTGAGATCTCCAAGGAACAACGTATCATGCTCATCATGGGGACTCGCTCCGACCTGGCCTCCAAAGATGTTAACGCTGCTTATCATGTCCTTCGGACTACCCAAAAGAGTGGCTACTCTACCTAAGATACCAAAAGAAGAGGGCAAATTCACATGAGGATTAGAAGATGAGAACCATCGTATCACCAACCCGATGACTGCGCTGCTCACGGCGGAGCGAGAGAGGTTATAAAAGCCGCTGTCCTGCAGTACTTCTTACTTCCTCACAAGTATAGATCCAGAGTAATTACTAAAAAAGATAGAGCAATGTGCATGGAGAGCAGGAACGGGAAATCAAAGATGGCATCCATCCAGCTACGTGCTCAGATATTAAAGAGAGAGAGTGTCCAAACATCGGCTGGCAGAGCGAAGTGTAGCAAATGGATTGCATGTCTAGAACGTCGGGCGTGTCCTGCCATGAACGCGTGTTGTGTCGGGCAAGTCCACGAAAATTGCGTGTATCGTTCATATATTACATTACTTCGTATGATCTATACATATTCGCACTCAGCCAGGTCGTCTGACTTTCTGCAACCTATTCCTCCATTCCCCAACCTTCTCATCCTTCCTTTTACTTTGCTCATCCGCTCCATTCTTGTTCTCACCCCCTTCATCATCTCGAGACCCTTCACCTGAGGCACTGGCATCGTGGCCTTGACTTCGTCCCTCGTAACCAGGCAGCTCGTGATTTCGTTCCCACAACCCCTCCCCCACAAGCGTCGCCTCGCGACTAAGCGGCTTGCGACTCAACCGCGCCTCTTCCACACCGCGTAGATACCTCTTCCTCAGTTCCTCGTCACTCAGTACATGAACTGAGATATCCGTATTCGACCTAGCCAGCGGTCTAATCTCCATATCCTGATCTTCAGTCGGAGAAGTCATCCACGCTTTCTCCTTGCCCGCCGACACGAAAGTAGGAGTTGGCGTGGATAACAAGGGTGTTGGTGACATCGGCGTGATGGGCGACTTGACCGCACCATCTGTATCGGTTTCCGTGTCTTCGAGGTCCTGCAAAAAGAGCCCGTGATCCACAACCGTGCCTCTTGTCCCTTTTTTGCCGTATAATTGTCTGCCCAACGCCCTATTCTTGGCGCTGATGAGGTCTTTGCCGCTTAATCCCGTGCGCCTCCTCGCCGCCACGGCCATCGCGAACGCCGCGCGCAACGGCGTAAGTCTGTAGCCCTCCTTCACCAGCGTGGAATTAAATTGCGCGTCCTGCCACAGCACATACATACTAAAAACCCATCCACTTGTCACAAGCATGAACAAACCAGACATGAGTGTCGCGAAACCCCATTGATATGTCGGATTGGCGGTGTCGGGGAGGCAGCGACTTCTCCCCATGAGCGCGTCGTACTCATACCCGATTCCATTGTAGCAGTACCCGTAGTTTGTGACGAGGTCGTCGGCGTTGTACGTCTTGCCACTAACAGGGACAGAGATGCTGGTGTTGCAGAAATGAGAGATGGTCTTATCGGTGTAGGTGTCTTGTTCCGTCCAAGTTTGCGTATTGTTGGGGAAGTCGAAGGTGCAGTTGAGAAAAAGATCGTCATAACGAACATATGAGTTGTGGTAGTAGAGGTCTGTTTGGTAGGCGGCGGTTACGATGGTGCCGTTGGGGAATTTGCAGTCACCTGTTTTCGTTGGTGTTAGTATATCGGAGGATTCTTGGAGAAGCGTTTGGATCGTGGGTGTGGGTATGTGAGGGGCACGGTGGAGGACAACGTACAAGCTTGCCGTCTGTGATCCATGATGTAGCTGAAACTACTGTGCAGATTGCGATCCGCACAGCCCGGTTGCTTCCACGTCTCGTTCTTGGTGCCTATGATAACCCACGAATCTTGCAATTGGGAAGCGGGAATGATGTTATTTGACCCGTCGATATCGAGCCATGCGATGGACGTGCTGTCGTAACCTGTCATGGCGCCGAGGACAATGGGTACAAGAAGCACGTATCCCGTTGACCAGAACATGTAGAAGAACAAGAATCGCGTCCGTATACTCTTCGCAGTCCACAGCTCTTTCGTCAACTCCCATAAACAATGCAAACCGGGCCCTTCCATAGCCATCCTCTGGAAAATGCTAAAGCTCGCTGGATGTCGTTCTATTGCCCGTAGTAACGCGTCACAGAAGACATTATACGTGGCCCACCATGCCAACGCCTGTGCGCCTTTCCCAATAAGCAAATCCCAGAGGATATCAATCGTCTTGGCCTGCGAGAAGGTGAATTGGCCCCACGTAGCGTCCAGCGCAAAGAGGTTCTCTATTCCCCTCACGGTCGCGTTTTGGGGGTCTCCGCCGATAGTGTTGCCGCAACCCATCGTCTTGTCTCTGAACATATATCTCACGGGTGTCACCGTGCCCATTGCAAATATAGGCAGGATGACCGAGACAAATAAGATGAGAAAGGCATAGAACTGCTTCTTCGACCACCGGAAGTGTTTCCATAACGGCGCGTTCTTGATCGTCCGCGCGGTCCATTTTGTGGCATGCCAGATACCCAGACAGGCGTCGTGGAACATCCAAGTCCAGCGTACTTTCCACCGCGGTTTCGACGGCCAACCTCGCGGTGAGCATGTTGCCTCATGCACACTATCATTTCCCCAGGTTTTGACGCGTTCATGCTTCTTTGCACTCTTTCCTTCCGAAAAAGATTCTTGGGTCGAGTTGACGGATGTACACGCAAATTGAATGTCCTTCTCTTCCGCAGCGAGAGCCTTCTTATCGCTGTAGTCTGACGCTGCCATCTCGTATCAATGCCAGCAAAGGCGAGGCGAGATCGCGGTTAGTGCATTCGTATGCGCAACTCGGTGTCGAAGAAGCGAGGATGGCGGTGGCGAAGGGGGGCCAGGGAGGTAGTTAGGCATTCCACACATGCGCAGTTCGCATTCGTCTCGAGGAAACGGGCAACAGTCGAAACAAAAGATATTCGGCGCGACGAACAGACTAACGAGTCGCGGGATGCCTGAGCGGAACTACCCCAGGCTAGACCCGTTCCTTCGTCGGTTCGACGCTTCGCTGCATGGGTGCATGTGCTATGGCTGCAAGTGTCGTCCCGGAAAGTTCCAACACCTGCGCGCAGGCACGGAAAGAACTCCTGCTCACCCATCATCCTGCAAAACATTCTTCCGCCATAAACTTCGGTGATCTGTGTGCTTCATTGGGAAATTCCGAGTATTCATTAGTGTAAAGGAAAACACCAAATCGCGTGCTGTCACCTTGAAGGAGCAAGAGACGGTCGTGGAAAAGGATTGGGTTCCCAGCACGATGCGAGGCTGTGTACTTATCCACTAGTCCCAACACAGCTAGATCCAGGGACATCTCTCGGCTAGCCAGGTTACGCCCTGCATCTCGCAAGGCAGACATCAAAGTAACCGTTCTAATGTTCGTGCTCGTTTCGCGACAATCCGGTTATAATCACTTCAAGTGCTCTGGTAGGTCAAGTCCGTGATGACGCTGATGAGTCGACGGAGTCTGAGTTGGCTCCGAGTCTAAGATGCCGAGTCTAAGGCGCCGAACCTAAGGTGCCGAGTCTGAGGGTGACATGCATCCCAGCTGTCGTTAGTGGACCGGCGTACTCAAAGCTAAAAGCTTAGAGAGTTGAAGATACCATGGCAAGTTCCTAGACCCTTTGCACGACGTCACTGTCTTTTCTTTATACCTCAAAGTGCATTCAACGTCAATCAAGTATAAGCATTTAGAAAAATGGCTCAGAGCTCCAGCATGATTCCACGTATAGTTAGCAGACCGGCGTAACAGCGCTAAATGCTTACAGACCTAAGAACGCGAAGATATCATGGCAAGTTCCTAGACTTTGTTCACGATGTCACCGTCACCAACGCTATCCACGATAATCAAGGACATCTCACGATCAAACAAGAAAAGTTACGATCCATCAACGACACACTGATATCAACGCTGCCCCACGACCGATTAAGGAAATTGACGATCAATCAAGGACATCAATATCACGGACACCATCAACGTCACCGGCGCTTTCGACTATCCCACAACACCATATTGTTCACTCATACATCGTCTAGCTTCCGCTTCAACCCGGCGAACCACTGACGATGAGTTACTAACAACGTACAACTCCCGCAATCGGTACCAACGACATGACCATTGCGTAAGATCATGCAGCATATGATGTCTCCGGCGATGATGAATGGAAGACTTCTCACGACGTCACTTTCTACTCTTCACATCCTCAGTCCAACAAATCCATTCCTTCAAGTATCAGTACGAATATCTCGAGCACCAGGCCCATCTCCCCAAGTGAAAAACAACAGAAAACCCTTTATGTATACATCAACGCCTTTGAAAACACCTTCATGCCTCTACAATCAAGATTACACATCATCATCACACTACCATCCTCATCCACCCTCTCTCCATCATCCTCTCAACTCCCCACAGGCGTCCCACTCCGACTAAGCACACTAGCCGAACTATTAGTCCTGAGCACCGGCGTTGCACTCCGACTCCTCTCCCTCTCGCGATCCCTCTCCTCAGTCTTAACCCGCTCCCTCGCCTCCTCCACAAGCCTCTTAGCCTCGCGTACATTCCGCATAGTCCTACTAAGCTTGCCCTCTTTCCCATCTTGAATCTTCTGCAATTCACCTCTGGCCTCGATATCCTCTTTAGTCTTGGTAACAAAAGACTTAAGACTGACTTTGATATTTTGCCTCAAGTCCTGGCCTTCGTCGAAGATGGCGTCGCTGTCGCGGATGGATTTGACGTTTTCGACGCGGCGCGTTAGGTACAGGGTGGGGCGGCGGGCGGCGGCGGAGGCGGCGGCAGCGAATTGTTCGCGGCGTTGGGCGATGATGCGTTGGACTTCTTCTTCGTAGGCGGTTTCGTAGACGTTGATGTCGACGTTGGAGGGGGATTCCGAGACGATGCAGCCGTCGTCGGGTTCGGGGAGGAAGTCCTCGCCTGTGCCGATGTTGAGGAAGAGTGTGTCTTCTAGAGGGTTGTGCGCGTGGCCTTTTCCTAGGGGTGTGGTTGGCGCTGATGATGATGGGGCGATGCCGGTGGGGGTTGAGATGGAGTGTATGGGCCCGGGTCTGATTGACATGTTCTCGTGGATTATCTTGGCTTCGCTGAGACCTGGGCTTGACTGTGTCGTTGGACTGCTAGAGATAGGTCCTTTGCTGGCGGAACGTTTCCCTGCTGCTTCAGGTCGGAGACCAGGTTTGGTGTATGCCATGTCGTCCATGTTATGGGGGAATCTCTGACCCTTGTCGTCGATTTTGATCTGATGATGTACACCCTCTGAGGAAAGTGCGCTCTCCACTGGTCGGCGATCGTGTGTGTCTTGTGATTTTGACTTGCGTAGTGCTGATGGTCGCATGGACATGGGAGGCTGAACGATTCGCGAGGCACTACCCAGTATACTCTCTATGCGGTCCGGTCGCCGTCTGAACAGTAGCTGCTTGAAGCGCTTCACTGCCCGTACCTGAACATTTGTTAGCACAAGGGTAACTACGATACTCTGATACCAATGCTTTCGCATGCGATAGGGAAGACGTGCACTTACCACTGTTACCAAGTGACCCATGTTGCCTGTGATGGCAGCATTGACTTCCTCATCAGTAGGCGGATCAATGATGATGGCAACATTCTCCGACTTTGCTAATAAAGGATCGCTCCCTTGTCGCGTGACCCACGGGTGTTCCTGGAAAGTCAGTCTTGCACGATGACTTCGAGCAGCCAACTCACTCTGATCTCTTCCATGGTTATTCTCTTCTTGGGATCTTTGTCCATGAGCCTCACCAGAAGATCCTTCAGTTCGGGGTTGCATTCGCTCTCAAACTCCAACGGGTCCATCCGTATTGATTGGTAGAGCTCGATCATACCGTGCTTTTCGAATGGTATACGACCGAAAAGAAGACAATACAATGTGCAGCCCATCGACCATATGTCGGCGGCTCTTCCAGAGACATGGCCATGTTTGGCAACGCACAGCTCCGGCGGCATGAAAGCTGGCGAACCTGCTGACTTGGCCGTCTTCATTTCGCCTTCCTTGTCGAACATCTCTGATACGCCGAAATCGACAATCTTCAGTACGTCCTCTTCGGTGATTAGGCAGTTGTCGGGCTTGATGTCTCGGTGGATAATACCCTGGGCGTGAACTGGCGCATGTTAGCATCAGCTCACGATTAGCCTAACACTCACGTACGGTACTCGAGACCCAGTATCATGTCTCTGAACCAACACCGACACTGCTCTTCGCTGTAGGGGTCGGCGCGCTCCTCGAGCCCAACTTGCATGACAACGCCCTTCTTGCACATCTCCATGACCATGTACAGCGAGTCTTCCTCTGGGTCGTCCAGCACCTCGATTAACGTGACCAGGTTCGGGTGGTGCAGCTTCTTCATGATAGCAATCTCTTCCTTGATCAGCTCGAAAGCATTGTTCTCTTCGGTGACGGAATGCCGGTGCAGGGGTGAATTGAAGCCTATACCAGCAGGGAGGGCGCGCATTCGTTTCGCAGCGGTCGGTCGGCGCAGGAGATTGGACTGAGCGCGTTTCCGGAGTCGGGATTTGGAGAATTCCTTAACAGCCTGCGCGTTGATGCGTCAGCGAGAGCCAATGCCTGTACCTCGAAGGGAACCCGCATCGTCTTGTTGGGGGCATGCGCCCGGGTGGTGCCTTCTCTTTCCGGTGGAGATGATGTCGAGAGAGCTGGTATCCTCACATATTCTTGGCCATACTGGTCGACAGCGAGATGAACGGCGCCAAAGGAGCCGCGGCCAATCTCCTGCTTGACTAGGTACTGGTTGATGCGGTGTTGGGCGCTGCCGTCATCTTCGCTGTTGCTGTACTCGGAGCGCGCATTGAATGTTTCCTGTACTGTCAGATGTAACTCAGGGTCGCAGCTTCTTGATGAATTGGGTCGCACCTTGACACGTCTCGTCGAGGAAGCGGCGCGCTTGTGGTGTCGTAACGGGCTTTGGTATGCGGGTGTTGACCTTGTCTAGCATCAGCTCCGGCCAGGACCAGCACCTCCGCGGGGTAGCCATGGCATATCCCCGGGCAACACGCACATAAACTTGACGGGGGGCGGTCGTCCGGCCTCGCTGACAGCTGGGACTTCTAGGGAGGGTTGCGACGTGTAGATGCGCAGGTCGGACTCGGATGGGCGCTTGGGTGGTGGTGTGGGCGTGGGCGTGGGTGGTTGTGACATAACTACCTCGCAGTCGAGGGCACGGCAGATGCTAAGTACGTAGTTGATAAGATGGACACGGGCCTAGGAGATAGCTAGGGAGAAATAATATGGGGAAGTTCGGGGCGCTGGACTACGACGTTCCGACAGCCCAGGATGTCTTTTGCTATGGGGCCCAACTAGAGAGGGGAGCGATGCAGCGGAGAGGGGGCCTTTCCTGACATTTCTTTCAGCCTCACCCGTTAACGGGCAATCACATCACCCCCATCCACCCAGTGCACTTGGCGCACGCCGTCTCCACCGTCTAGGCTCTCTCCGTTACCCACTCGGCTAGTGAATTGCGTATACACAGCTCCAACTCGCTTCCTCACCTTGGCCTGCCGTATCGCGACGTGCAATTGGCATCGGTGACCAAACCCGCACAGGGCGCTTCCCTATCTCCAACACCACCAAGCTTACCACCTTGCATACCGATAACCTCGCCCCATTGTCGCACACCTTCACCGACGTCATCTTCCCGCAATGGTCCTCTACAGCTTCTACATCTTCGATCGGCACAGTAAGTCGTCATGTCAAGTTGTGATCACCGCTTTGCACACGCGCTGACCGCACGTGCAGCCGAGTGCATCTACTCGCGCCGCTGGACACCCGCCCGCCCAACCTCGTCCTCGTCCAAAGCTGCCCCCCGCCCGCCGTCTGGCGCCTCCATCGCGAGCAATGGCGACGTGGTTGCTGCCGTCCGCAAGGGCATGTCGCACTCCGATGACGAGAAGCTCGTCTTTGGCCTTGTCTTCTCCCTCCGCAACCTCGTCACCAAGCTGGGTGGTGCCGACGACACGTTCCTTTCGTATCGCACCGGCGAGTACAAGCTACATTACTACGAGACGCCCACGCGCATGAAGTTTGTCATGCTCACGGATACAAAGGTTATCAACCTAAGACAGTATTTACATCAGATCTGGGCGAATCTGTATGTAGAGTATGTGGTCAAGAATCCGCTTGCGCCGACGGAGCACCCGGGCGGCATTGGCGTTGCGAATGAGCTGTTCGAGCGGGGGCTGGAGGCCTTTATCACAGCCGTATTGCCAGTATGAACACGATCCCTCAATTGGACAGACAATAGCAAGAGCAGCTTCGGGTACAAAGTGATGGCACACAGCGCATCGAGGGTCTAAGAAGGCCGCCAAGCGTGTTCAGACAATATAGCTATAGAACCCTGAACAACGGCCATCCCTCACGCGAGCACGCGAGAACGTCTCCACGCAAGCAATCCACAAAAGAGCTCTGCGGTCTTCACATAGCAATCGACTGAACGAACAGACGACCGACATACATACAAGCTTCGAGCACACCGGGAGCGGCCGAGCAACCATGCAACCCAGACGCTCCTCGCCCCACATTCATGTACACAGCCTCACACCAAGGCTAGACTACATGACGCTATCTACACAGCTCTATGAGCTTAGCTTCAACAGGCGTGTCCTCCGCCGCGATGTGGCAGCGGGGTGTAGACACATGGCATAGCAGAATCATAAGCAAATATACTATTTTACATGTACTCTGAAGCTCACTTCATGAGATCTCGGTGTGCGCGTTCTGAAGCTGACGTAGGACTGAGTTTACGGTAGTGTAAATGGTGGGGGTCTCTTTGTCTGCCCAGGTCGTCATGATAATCCCCTGGTGGTTTTTGAAGGAAGAAAGAGAGGAGAACAGCCATGGATAGCCCAGCTTCTCCTTTTGGAGTCTCAAAGGGAGAAGGGTGGAATGTGAGAGAAGAAGATGAGTGGCAGGAGGGTGTTTATATACACCTGCCAGGCACCCACGAGGTGCTCATGTCAGGCTGTGTGTCGCTTTTAAAGTCCGCGTAGGAACGTGGAGTAGTGTTTCTAGGTGGTGGGACCGATGTCAATGTTGCAAATACGGTTCGGGTGCCGATCATGTGTCCATCACTATTGTGTTTTGGAAGACGGGCACAGCCATGGGCTTTTTCGACCAAGGTTTGGGTAATCGCAGGAAAGAAGTACAGACAAGTGTGGTAAGATAGAAGAGTTGCAATCGGACTCTATGTGCATGCTCAGCACAGACCCACTCAGTGCCTGTGTAGATGCAGGTGAGAGACTTTCATTCCGCATGGCGATTGGCTGTGTATGTTTGGAGACGTGGAGAAGAAGAGGTCGATCTCATTCATACCCACGGTTGGCTTGAATTCCAAGTGCCGATCATAATACCATCGCATGTTTGTTTTGAGAGACGGACACAGTCATCTATTTTGTTCTCCATGATCTTGGCAAATACCGGAAAGAAGTGAGGATAGGTGAAATGAAGAAGTAGGCGACTTGGTAGAGTTTATATACGCAACAGGTGCGTCACTGCTTAGTGGTCATGGCCAAGTTTTCTTGTTCTTTTGGTTCGCACATTCATTGCTTGGTCATTCGTTTCGGTAGTTTGGAACCAGTGGTCCACCTCATGCATTCGGCTCTCATGGTTATGTTTCGGATGCTGACCATAGATCTTGGTGTTGTCATTCTGGGGCAGGAAGAGGAGTACACAGCCATTACGCTTTTCTTCATGTGTTTTGGAATCTTGGCGGGGGAAGTACAGGAAGTTGTGGAAAGAGGAAGTCACGCTCCAGGACGGTATATATATACAAAAAGAGCTCGAAGCCCCTTGATAACCATAGGTAGTCTTGATAGTCGTTTCAGCACATCGTGAATTGCATTGGTCGTTTTGGATTCGCGACTGTTGTCGACCGGAAGCTCGGTCTCGCTTATGGGCCGATCGTCCACTGGATTTGGGGTTCGGTCATAGTGAACTGGGGCGACTTTTTGGAAGAGAAGGACACAACTATATCAACCGATGGTGTGCGTTTTGGAATAGCGCAGTGAGAAATGCGAATGATAATGAGAAGAACAAGAAGCGCCGCAGACCTTGTGTTTTACACGCGAATGGCATCATATCCATCGCCGCGAACAACTTTAGACTCTCCACATAGAATCTGGCATTTCGACTTTTTGGACCTGCAAGCGACAGGGCGTTCTTGTCTGTGTGATCACTTCTTTTATGCTGGGCCGCTCGTCATACAGCCGGCCCCATGCCCTTTTTTTGAGAGGAGAGAATAGACATTTGTCGAATGCTTAGTATTTTGGATTCTAGGAAGAAGAAGTGTAGAGGAAAAGAGAAGCCAGGAGTGATCGTTTTATGCACGAGATGCGTGGCACCATCACCGATAGCAACGCTAGCCTCTAGAAATCGAAACCATCATCTCTCCCTTCCAGAATCTCAGGCGAAAGAGCGTTCCTGCTCATGAAAATGTTTCCTGTCGTGTTTTGGCGCTCGTTGTGACAATCTTAACCAGTATCTTTCGGCGAGGAGAAAAGGACTAACATATCGTAGTCGTGGTTTGGTTTTTGGTATTTGAGAAGGAGAGACATGGAGCAGAAGAGGGTTCAGAAGCTGTAATTTGTATGCACAAGGTGTGTTGAGCTATCCCAAAGGATTGTAGTGTTTTCTGCACACTACGACACAGGTATGCTTTTTAAGACTTTGAGCAAGACGTCAGTCTCGCCCATAAGTGGTTCGTACTCAGATATTAATGATTGCCAAAACTCAGTAACTAACAGGCTGGCAGGGAGAAAGCAGCCATCAATGGGAGCACACCAAATTTTGGTTTTTGGTATCTCGTAAGAAGGAGTGTAGAGAAAAAGTGATAAGATCGTATTGAGGGGTTTATATGCACGTGCAGCGAAAGGTCCCGCCGTGCTCATCCCGCATTCTCGTTTCGCTTTTTCATACATCGTCGTCGGCTGGAACGTTTCGAGCTGACAAGCCAGAGTTCGGTCTGCTCATGGACATGGCAAACATGGTTTTTAGACTGTCTTCATGGCTTTCTAATATTGTATTTTCAGGAAAGCAGAATGAACAAAGCAGACATGAAAACAGGTCCTCGATCTTCTAGTTCTGCAGAGAGAGGGCTAGGAAAGAAGAATGCTCGCAGCTCGCGCATTATAAGTTTGGCGGGGGAAAGACGACGAGCACATGAGTTGTAGCAGATGTGGAGTTTCTGCACATCTCGAGCTTTTCGTTGCGGTCTGAGTATACCAGCGGAAGCCCTCTCTTTCTCATGAAGTCGTGATCTCATCTTTTCTGGTTCTCAACATATCAACAGCCTGGTTGAGTTTTCAGAGATCGAGAAACGGCCATCACCACTGACCATCTCTCTTCTGATGCCCGTGAAGGAATGTTTCGGAGCAGGAAGACAGGGTGTGGGTTGTGGTTTATATACGCCGGCGAGGACAAGAAGAACACCGCTCATGTAAGCCAATTAACACACTTTCAACACTTCGTAGATTCTGCGCAGCTTTTGGGAGTTTCCAGCGACATCAACGCGTAGTGTGTCTTTTTCAAAGCAGGGACTTACAGGTCTACGTCATCCCATTCTCAAGGAACTGTTTCGAAGAACCGCAGAGCCATTAAAGGAAAGAATTTGTTTTTATTAGCAGATGTCTTGGGTGTAGTGGGTTGGAGCAAAGAAGGGGGTAGGCAGGTAGTAGACCGCGGTTTATGTACACAAGCAGCGACGGAGGCACGAGTACTCATGGTGTCGTTGCCATAATATTTTACTAATGCATCGAAGCCCAAGAAGATTTGCATATTCCAGGAGAAGGGTGCGCGTATTCATGCCATCTATCCAATTCAGTTTTTGGACGCGCATAGCATCTTGGGCATGCGTTTTTCGGAAGTAAAGCGCACCATGTCTTGAGGAGCCGGCGTTTTTGACAAAACTGAAGGAAGTGGGTGATTGAAAGAGAAGGACAAGGTCGGCGGTCGTGGTTTATATACACTGGTGAGGCCGCCTCAACGATGATGGCAAGTAGATGAATACCTTTTTGCTCGTGTTTGCCGGGTCTTTCGTAGAGTTTCATGGAAGTTTTGGTACTATTCCGGTCTTTTTCATAATATCTTTCGCTAGGAATTTGGGGTTATCTGCATGGCAAGGTACTTCAGAGCAATTGAGAAGACCGGGAACAGCCATATCATGATGGGAGATGTCTTTTAGGAATGCCTTCAAGGACAAGTAGAATGTACAGTGTAGGTGGAAGAAGTGAGGAAATGGCTGGTATATATAGCCGAGAGCCCGGCCGTGTCGAGGGCTTCTCCATAGTCGAGCCATGTTTCTGGTTTGAAACTAACAAAAAGGCTTTCAGATCGAGTTCATACCCCCGGGAGAAGCGCTCATGATGGCGTTTCACCACATATTCATGACGTATACAATCTTGGAAAGATGCACACATGTGATCCTCTTATCCCTATCCTGAAGAAAGACGGGATGTGTGTCCATGGTTTGACACAGAATGTAGAGTGGTGAGATCGTACTTGTAGATTGATCACGATCTCGGGTGAGAGGTTCACGGCGTTTATCTCTAAAGGGGTTGGAAGACTGGAGAACATGTACTCCATATTCGCAGTTTTGTATAGGCGCAGTCATTCGCGCAATTTGTAGTCGTTTTTGGTGGAACTGTCGAAAAGAGAGGTGTCAAGGAGAAGTGGTCTGCAAGTGCGGCGTATTTATATGAGTTAGAAGAGCGGAAAGGCGACCCATGATCCCCGAGCAGGAATCTTTTGGAAAGAGGGAATTACATCGCTGGAATCGTACGGTTCTTCTGCGGGTACCGACATACGGCGAGAGAATCTAACTTTTGGTAGAGAGTAAAGTGTGTGATGATAAGAAGCAATGCTTCCCCACGCAGAGTATCGACGTATGTCGTGGGATGTTAGGAGCAACCCATGTATTTCCTGAATCGCTTGTTTGGAGGTGAAAGCGACATCTATTTTGCCTTGCAGTTTGTTGGAACCACAGACATTTGCCATCAATGTTTTTGTTTTGGAGAAGGCAGACATCATAAACACGGATGTTTGTTTTGGTAATTGGAGAAGTAAGTATTGATGAGGAGTATGCGCCCAAGCGGTAGGTTTATATGCCGCGAGACGAGCGAGAGCGGGTCATGTTCTCAGTCTTTCCGTATTTCCAGACGACCATGGATAGCGGCCAACATCTTTTATTCTGAAGCCAGGGCTGTGAAGGTTCTCAACCAGGGAAAGACATGGGATGGCCAACATATAGCATCGGTTTGGAGGATACAGGGTTCTGCAATGATAGAATTTAAGTCACGCAGTACGCGAACTGCTCATCACGAACTCCTTCGCAAATTTTCGAGGCAGAAAAGACATCGGGCGGACCAGGTAGATCTTTTGGAGGAAATAAACAAATTGTGAAACTCGCGGGCGGCGAAAGACATGGCTTTGTCCATTTCGTGTTTGAAGTTCTCGACGGCTGAGAGAAGGATTTGGAAGATGTATGGAGCCGAGGACGCAAGGTTTTATATCTACGAGATTGTACGCTAGCCCAGAAGCTGTAGAAGCGCGAGAATCGTCGTCCATGACTGATACATGTAAATGGCTCTGTGTAGAGTATCGCTGTGCTGGATGACGCCGGAAGGGTAGTGACTGCCCATGGTGCTTCCTTCAGCTCTTTTGAAGTTAGTCAAAGAACTTGAACGATGCGAAAGATGGAACTTTTGCTGTCACGAGGGCAAACTTCATTGCAATCCAATGGAGTGGTTGCTTTTTTTTTTGCAATAGCCGTACGTATAAGGACGATAGCATAAATTCGCCGCATTTGATCGACGCCTATAGACGCTTGTTCATGCTGCTCGTCAGATTGGGATACCATTAGAGGTCGCCGAAGTACGCCATAGAGCTTGCCTGATGAAAGCTGCAATGAAAGCGTGGAAGACGATGAGGATATGCCAAAAGCTGTGTTGTTTGCTTCTTCACCGACCTCCATTATTGTCGATCGCTTTCTTTCAAACGTGGTCGTTGTGTCTACCATCAGCCACGGCACGTGGAGCAATCCATCCCTCTCGAGGTACCGGCCCTATGTCAGGCACTACCCGTGCAGCCGGATCCGAAATTCGCGTAAATCGCGGTCAGTGTGATGAACCAGCATCTAACGAACGTGCGGGTACTTGCGTCGCGTGTGTGAAGTCTATCCCTAGAGTCAACGAACCAATCACCACGAGTCCAGCCGCCACGAGCAGCAGATGTCGTTTCAAGTCGCGCACCAAGTCAGGAACGCGACTGCAAATCGCCCGCTTACCCGGGCCGAGTCAATCCACAGAGGAGCCTGGTCGTGTGTTACGTGACGGCAGCGGGTGAAGTGCCAACTGGTGCTTGCTGACCGTTGAGCGCTCAGCATGGGGCGAAGAGCTTGGCCCGATCATTGCCACGAAGGTCGATTTGAGCGCATTATTGTTCCGAGCAGTGTGCCTGAGACTGCAGGGCGAAGGAACAACAAGACACGTTACGAAGTCGATCACGCGCATGCCAACCGCAGCCCAAGATTACGGCAGAGAAATGACGAGTGCGCGGTAATCCGCGTAGCGTCGCCTCTAAGAAAGGCAGTTCAGACGACTCCAGAGCATACGCCGCGACCAATAAGAAGGGTTCTGGCTAGATGTAACCTTGTATTGTGTAGATCCGAGTGAATGGTTCCTTCCGTCGTAGAGGGCAATAAGAGGTCAGTGCGAGGATGGAGCAGCTGTAGCCGTTGGTGCATAATGGCTTGCAGGATGCAGCGAGGTTGCTGCACGACAGCTTGCCCTTTGACTTGGAATGGCAGCTGCGGTATTTGTTAGTGGCTAGAACGGGATACCAGGAGTGTTGTGATGCATGGGGCTGGTGTAGCGAGTTGCGGTGTGCATGGTGAAGTGGATTGGGAGTGGTGGGGAGGAGACGATGAGGGGCGCCATCTCAGGTTGCTGCATGGCTGCAATGCGGGGCACAAGGTTTGAGGAAGTGCCCCTCTCCTTGTGTATCGCGGAACTGCAAATAATAGACGATGAGATGTAAACAAAGGTTTCCAGGCCTTGTATCTTGCGCGGTCTTTGAAAATCGCTACATGAGATGGCCTCCCCTCGTTGACCAGTGTCAAGAGTGGCTTACCAAGCATTTGTGAAGCTGTGCGGGACACGACCGAGGTGCAGCAGCGCTTGATGGAATTAGCTTGGGCTCGACGATAGTATTTGCCGGCGCATGTTTCGGCGGACCTCGGGAATGGAGGAGATGGTGACAAACGGGATCACGAAAGGGGCCATGATGGTGCGTCACAGTGCTTGGTGGACAGCAGAAACCAGTCAGATGGTAGTGGGAAGATGTCATGCTCCGGATTGGGAATATGTCTCAGGACGAAATTGATGGTAGCCATACGTCAGCGAAGAGTGGAAGGCAAGCTGGCAACGCTCCACTGGATGAGCTCATGGCTATTCAAGGTATGAGTGCGCTTTATTGTTATTGAAGCAGCAGTATATAGCAGAGTCACAAACAAAGACAGCTAAGCATGTGCCGTTTCTTGTCATTGCTAGGACAAGGCTTCTTCGCCGATGGCCCGCACACTTGTGAGATTGCAGCGGTCAACTGCGACGACTGGCGTACATGAAGAAGATGAAAATCGCGCAAGCCAGGCCTGTTGCGTCAAGACGTACACGGCTTCGAGGCAGTGCACACTGACCCATGGATTACCCCTCGCACACCTGAATATTAGACGTGCCGGCCTCGTGAAGAGATTCCGAGATTCGTCGTCCCCAAGCCCGCCCAGCTCGCTGTTGTGCTGCCCATCGCGGATACCGGCCACGCAGCCCTCGCCCAGCCTTCGACATCATCTGCCGCTGATCCGCATTTGCTCGGCACGCGTGCACAGCCACTCTGCTGTGGCTCCCGGACCCCGTGGTGGGAAGCAATTTGAAGCCGCCCCAGACCTCACCGCGACGGCGTTTGTCAGCCCGCCCACGCCTTCCACACTGCGCGCGCCTGCCCGACCTGCCCGTTTGCGCCTGGCGACGAGTCCTTCACAGTCACCGTGTTTCTGCACTACAAATCGCCCCACGCGCGCCTTCCGAACCTCATCTCCACCACCACCCGCCGACGCAGATACGCCGTTTTGACCGCCGTGCAATAACAGCACCTGGGCTTCTTGCCCGCGAGACACCTGCGTCTCCGAACCCATATTCTCCATAGAAAAGACCCACACCACATCCTAGCCGCGCCGGCCAGCGAGAGACGAAAAGCAAGGAATATGGCGGCTCCCACGACCAACAACCCACCCAGCACAGCGCTCAAATCCACGGGCTCGCCGTCCGCCTCCGCCTCGACGGCCTCTTCAGTCCACTCGCAGCCCGACACCAACGTCGTCCTCCCCCAGCCCGTCGTCCACCAATCTGGCGCCAGCAGCGTGCAAGCCGCCGCCGAAGCGCTGCTCAAGCCCAAGAAGCCCACCATGACGTCGCGCCTCAGCAGCATGATGGGCATAAAGACCGCCCACATGGACAAGAATGGCGACGTCAAGGCCACCAACGGCACCTCGCCCAACGGCCGCCCCCCGCCTGCGCGCCAGGGCTCCGTCACGAGGAAGGAGGGGCCCGGCGCTCCCTACAAGCGCTTCTGGCTCAACGACGACGGCTCCCACGAGCATGTCCTCAAGGCCGCCAAGCGCCAGGAGAAGCTTTCCGACATGTTCCAGAGCCTGATGCTCGGCAAGAAGAAGGGCGACAACGCCGAGGACCAGCCGCTCAGTCTCATGTCAAATTGGGTCGACGTCATGCGCAACGAGAAGGAGAAGCTTGCCGAGCAGAAGAACGCCGTCAACGCTCTCCCGCAGACGCTGGTCCAGAAGTACGGCAAGTGCCAGGAGGTCGTCGGACGCGGTGCCTTTGGTATCGTCCGTGTCGCACACAAGCAGGACCCCAAGGACTCGAAACGAGAGCAGCTCTACGCCGTCAAGGAGTTCAAGCAAAGACCCGGCGAGTCGGCCAAGCGGTACCAGAAGCGTCTCACGTCCGAATTCTGCATATCCTCTTCGATGCAACATCCCAACGTCATTACCACGCTCGACCTACTCCAGGACGAAAAGGGCACATACTGCGAGGTCATGGAGTACTGCTCTGGAGGTGATTTGTACACACTCGTCCTCGCAGCTGGCCAGCTCGAGGTGGCCGAGGCAGACTGCTTCTTCAAGCAGCTGATGCGCGGCGTGGAGTACATGCACGAAATGGGCGTCGCACATCGGGATCTGAAGCCTGAGAACTTGCTCCTCACCACACACGGGTCGATCAAAATCACAGACTTTGGCAATGGCGAATGCTTCCGTATGGCCTGGGAGAAGGAGGCACACATGACGGCTGGTCTCTGTGGCTCAGCTCCCTACATTGCACCCGAGGAGTACGTGGACAAGGAGTTCGATCCCCGTGCTGTCGATGTGTGGGCTTGCGGCATCATCTACATGGCCATGAGGACCGGGCGCCACCTCTGGCGTGTGGCTCAAAAGGGCGAAGACGAGTTCTTCGACCGCTACCTCGAGGACCGGAAAGAGGAGGAGGGTTATCGACCCATTGAGGTTTTGCGAAGAGTGAGTCTCAGCCTATATCATTCTTGGAATTATGCTAACAACTCCCCAGCGACAATGTCGTAACGTCATCTACTCAATCCTCGATCCCATACCTGCCCGCCGCCTGACTGCACACCAAGTGCTTGCTTCTGAATGGGTCTCCGAGGCCAAGGTCTGCCGTGCAGGCAACGAAGGCTTCTAGGCCACTTGATTACGGCTGGACCTCCATATTCTTAGCCTTCGTCCTCGCTCACACGACACGGATCTTGAGCCATTTGTCTGGATGTTTGCGTTCGTTTCTTGACTTGGATTTCTTATTTTGGACATACCCCCTTTACGCCCGATGCCACAGCATAGCGAGATTTTGGGCATCGGCAGCTTGTTGCACTCTCGTATGGCGTTTTCTCCTCTCGGCATCAACGGATCACCATAACGATACACACGAGTACTAGATGATGGCGTACGACGTTGAAGAGCGATGGTGGCGGAATGTACGGTTTGGGTGTAGACCTTCGCTCGCTTGTTAATGGATACTGGCGGCTTGTATCACGGTTGCATAGGGTAGAGCAGCCCGTTATGAATTTCTATACGAACAGCACGCATTTGTATATGAGCGTGCCGCGTGCCACGCTATCAGATATGACCCTGCATATGTCTACCATGAATTTACACATCCGAGCAACTTAGAACATGACATGCAGAAGTGTCTTGCAGAATGCAAACATTTCAGATCACATGCATTGGACGTGAGTCAAGTATGGCGGACATCTCTATCTCTTGGCAACGTCATCGCTTAAACATTCCAAGGTTGGAGGCGCCGCAGCCATTCACTAGGCAAGCGGTGAAACAATCAAACGTGTCTTGACGAATGCGAACGCCTGTTCACGCCGCGCCTGCAACCCCAGCTCCTCCTGGCCTACCCCATGTTCCTCCTTGACTTCACTGGGCGGCTCGAAGAAATGCAACCAAGCAATGCTCACGACTGGCACTCCGCTCCGTAATTGGGCTCTCTTCCTGCTGCTATGCAGCGCACCCGCGTCCACCCTCGCTGAGGCAGCGAATGAGGCGCCTACCGTTGAATCGAGCGCTACTGCACACTCAGGTGCCACGACGCAGCATACCTCTACCCCCGCGCCTTCGCCCACATCCTCGTCGTCGCCTTCACCGTCGTCCGTTCGGAGATACACCAAGAGTCAAAGCACGTGTCCGTACCGCACCATAAACTACATCACGCATACACTCCCGCAGCAATGCGCAAAGACGAGCTGGTCAGCGCCCCCCGAGGCAGGCGCGACTAATGGCACGGGCGCCGAGGAAGGAGCTCTAGCTGGTCTACAGACTCCAATACCTGGTTTAGATGGAGGACTAGAGGGCATTGCGGGAGGAGACAAAAGCACAACCCCAGCAGTAGCGCCCCAGGCTGATCCGACTGGCGCAAGCTCAACTGCATCTAGCAGCGACACAGCAGGCACAGAGCCGGAGCTTGACTTGGAGGCGGACTCGCCATTCGACAACGCCAATTTCCTCTCCTTTGACGAGTGGAAGAAGAGGAACCTGGCCAAGGTCGGTCAGTCACCGGAAAATGTTGGACAAGGACGGGCAGCAGGCACAGACCAAGCCGCACGGCGACGACCCGTCAACGTCAACGCCCTGGACTCACTCGGCGACGAGGGTGAGATCTCTATCGACTTTAGTGGCTTTGGCTCCCCGGACGATGAGAACGTAGCGAACAACTTCCAGCATGGCAAACAAAGCGCGGATGCTTCAAAAGCTGCTGGCGGAGAGGGCAAGGTTGCACCAAGCTCATGGGCTCTCAGCAAAGACGCAGGCAAGACGTGCAAGGAGCGCTTCAACTACGCCTCATTCGACTGTGCTGCTACCGTGTTGAAGACGAACAAGCAGGCGAAGAGCTCGTCTTCCATCTTGGTAGAAAACAAGGACAGCTACATGCTGAACATATGTTCCGCAGACAACAAGTTCCTCATAGTAGAGCTCTGTGACGACATTCTCGTGGACACCATCGTTCTCGCTAACTACGAGTTCTTCTCCTCCATGTTCCGTCATTTCAGGGTGAGCGTGTCAGATCGCTATCCCGTGAAGATGGAAAAGTGGCGCACGCTGGGCACGTTCGAGGCACGGAATTCGAGAGACATTCAGCCTTTTCTCATTACTGAGCCGCAGATCTGGGCAAGATATCTGCGTGTGGAGTTTTTGACTCAGTTTGGCAACGAGTACTATTGTCCGCTTAGCGTTTTGCGTGTCCATGGTACGACGATGATGGAGCAGTTCAGGCAAGAGGAGGAGGAAGCGAGGGGTATCGAAGATGATGAGAATCTGGAGGCTGAGGGTGTTGAGGTTAAGAAGGCGGCTGAGGATAGTGGGCCCCTGCCGCCAGAGGAGATACCGATCGAAGCGGTAAAGGATCTCAGCACAAGTTCAGATGCCTCAGCGGCTAACGAAGTTGCTCAACGAGATGTCTCGCCGGAGGTCAAGACTGAGTCGCCTCGTAACGATGTGCCATATGGAAGGCCTCCGTCGCCTACAGACATGGCAGAGCCAGTGGTGGATAAGCCCCAGCATCAGCCTGTATCAAACTTGACGTCTATCTCATCTTCGTCGGTGATAGGCGATCAACAAATCACGAACGAGAACAGTACAGCCAGCGGGGAGACAAAATCGTCCGCCGCCCCTTCGCCAAGCCCGACAGATGCCACTCCGCAAGTTCAGAGTCCTACATCTGACGCCTCTGCGATCAACTCTTCGAGTTCCATGTCTCGAGTCGACAGTGCTACAACACAGACTACCAACGCTACAGGCTCCTCTTCGAGCGTTCCATCAGCCAAAGCATCAAACAACAGCACCGTCGCAAGTCCACCATCGCAAGGACGAGGGTCGTCTACACAGCCAAACGCGCCTGCACCCTCAACGCAAGAATCATTCTTCAAGTCGATACACAAGCGCCTCCAGTACCTCGAAGCTAACAGCACGCTTTCACTACAATATATCGAAGAACAGTCCCGCGCTCTCCGAGATGCGTTTGTGAAAGTGGAAAAGAGGCAACTGGCAAAGACAGAGAAGTTCTTGGACCATCTTAACAGTACCGTCATGCTGGAGCTGAAGAGCTTCCGCAACATGTACGATCAGCTATGGCAGAGCACAGTCATCGAGATAGAGAGCATGAAAGAGCGCCAGCAGTCCGAAATCGGCGAGATAGGCACTCGTCTAAGTCTAATGGCGGATGAACTCGTCTGGCAGAAGAGAATGGCCGTTGTGCAATCCACCCTTCTACTTCTCTGCCTGGGTCTGGTTCTCTTCGTCAGATCAGGTACTCTAGGATCCACGGCCGATGTACCAATCGTGCAACAGCTAGGCAGCAAGTACACCAGTTTCTTCGAATCTTCGCCTCCGCGTAGTCCACCAGATACCTCAGGCATGGCGCGACAACGCCGTACTTTCCGCAACATGTGGAAGAGCGATGCGTCTGCCCACCTCAGCGACCACCACAACGACAGCGATGGTGGTGGTCAACACAATCTGTCTGATGCCGAAACTGATGGTCTGAGAAGTCCGGTGCAGATAGAGTATAGTCCGCCTACACCTACAACGCCTACCATACATTCCGCCATACATAGAAACGGCGACCATCGAGACGAAGACATATCAGGTCCACCTATGCGCGTAAACGGCCTTCACAACAACCACGACAACCCAGAACACGATGATAGAAAAGAAAATATTCCTCCAACACCTTCGTCGGCAGTATCGAACGCAGAAGACCAAGCCGCCCGAATCCAAGTCCTAGAAACACAGTCCGGACCTGCGACGCCAAACGGAACGAGGGATAGTAGACCGAGTTGGGAGGAAGTGGATCGCGCTATGGATTTGTTGAAGGCGGAGGAGGCGGGGCAGCATGGCAGTGCACAAGGGCGGGGGAAGGTGGAAGAGTTGGTGTCGCGGGGTTCGCTGGATTCGCCGCGCTCATCAGGTTCGATAGACAGTCCAGGGTCGCCGGGTTCGCTGCGTTCGCCTGGAAGTCCGGGGAAGAAGAGGAAGAAAAAGGGTGGGGGCAATGGGAACGCGCATGGTGGTGGAGGTGGGCTTGGGAATGGGGGTGCAAGCGGTGGACAGGGGAAGAAGAAGAGGAGTCCGCTGAGGAGGAGTCATAGTAACTTTGACGGGGGCGGGGGGAGTGGGGAGTGACGCATCTTTCACGTGAAGGGTGCGCGATGGTCTTTGGGTTTCAACAAGAGCGAATGGGCGTTGCATCTTCGGCGTATTGGGACAACGGGTCTTGATTACGACGCTTCACTTTGAAGCAGAGGTTCAGGTGGCGTATATAGTCGTTATTGAATATGCATAGCACTGCATACCATCGCACACTTATATCTCGAGCATGTCCATGCTACATCATCACACATGTCTCATGTCTCACGTCTTGGAAACATTTCCCATCCCATCTCCCATGAAACTCCTTCCTAATCTAGTAACTTCTCGGAAAACTGTTGATTGCGGTTTCACTCCTACCCTCCAACCAACCACCCCGTTCTCCCACCCCTACACTCCTACGACGACTGCATTCCTGTACTTCTGCTATATGTACATGCGCGACTCTAAGTTTATTAGCCATTCGCGACATCTAGAGCTTAGAGCTCTATAGAGATTGGATTGCTATAGTGTCGAGCGGTTGAGATAATAGAAAGGGGGGAGTTGGTGGTGGTGGTGGTGGTGGTGGTGGTGGATGGTGATGCTTCCTAATCGGGTAAGTTATAGGAAAGTGTGGATAACGGTGAGCTTTCACGGGCGCGTCTTGGGCGGGCAGGGAGAACAGCGCGAATCGCGCGGGTTTGGCGAACAAGGCGACTTTGGCAAACTTTGCGAACGCTGCGTCTTGAGCGAATGGCGCAAACATGGCAGATGTGGCTACTACGGCGGCCAGCGCTGCCAGCACGGCCATGGCAAACCTCGCGCCGGCAACGGCAAGGTCCTGCAGGGCGTCGATGGCGCGCAGGAGCACGAAGACACCTTGCTATAATCTACAGTTGAGCCAAACCTTCCTAATTGGGTAATGTCTGAGAGGTTTGTAGACGTGCGAAGCTTGCTGCGTTGGGAGGTTTCGTGTGAAGATCATAGACTCTTTTTCTGTTTTCCCTAGCACAGATAGCGGGGGAGCCAGAAGTCTAGGAGAGAGCTGGATTAGGAAGGTTCTAAGGTTTGGGGCAGGTGTGGATAGTAGGTGTATATTGCCTACCAAGTCGTCAAGCTCGGTCGAATAAGATATCTAGATTCTAGTGACACTAAATAAAGAAGGGGAAGACGAAAACGAGAACGGTTCGCGGCAAGCCGGTTTTAGGCGATCGTTAATCACAGCATCTTTCACACCTCCTACGCCGTGGTTCAACCTCACGAACCCGCGGGCCTATATCGCAGCACCAGACACGTCCCGATTAGGCAAGCTCTGAGCAGCTGTAGATTATAGCAACTCTCACAACACACCTACCACCAGCCCCAACGACGTCTGAACTCAGGTTCTGGCGTTGTTAGGAGTTGCTGTTGAGTACTGCTTGGCATATAGACCGAATCAGGCAAGTAATGAAAAGCCGTCGATCGCCGGCGTCCGCATACTTACCACACGCCCTCGTCGTCTGAACCTTCTGACCCTCCAACGGGTCGTTCGCGCTAGGAATCGCAGTGCACTTCTGTAATCGCCGGTGCCTGACCAAGACTGTGCAGACAGTCGCTCGGATGCATACGTCTGCCTTCCCGTCGCACAATGAGGCTGAGAGCCAGCCTTGTCTACCTGCTCTTCCGCGTTAGAGATGGCAGGTACACTCGGCCCCCACACCCACTCTCCAAAGCCACCTCATACAGTACCGCTCGCATACCTCGTCTTCCACGCTAGAAACTGCAGTGCACTTCCCAATCGAGCTGCTGGATGCCCAGTCTCGCACTCCCTTCCCATCGTGTAAGGCTGAAACCCAGCCTTATTTCTAGCTGGTCTTCTGCGCTTGAGATTGCAGTGCAGTACGGGAGTTCACCACACCTGTCGCTCAGCACCCATCATCCTCATACAGCGCCGTTCGCTTACCTCCCCTCCCACGCTACAGACCGCATTGCACTCCCCAAAGCAAGTGTCGAACTTACTACGGATGCTTACAGTGAACATCGATTATGCAGTTTTGCACCCACGTTTTCCTTCTCGTTGCGTAAGGCTGGTCTTCAGCCTTACCTATACCTCCTCTTCTGCGCTAAAGATTGCAGTGCACCTGCAGGCAGCGAAGGGGGTGGTGTGTACCCGCATCGTTGCCAATACACCTCAGCCGCTCCCTCACTTCATCTTCTACGTTAAGAATTGCAGTGCTGTGCGTCTAACACCGCCACGACCGGCTACTGATGCGAATGTCCTTGGTAACGCCGGTATTTCGACTCAGCCAATAGCACATGCATCATCAGTCTACCTCTGTAAGATGCTGGCTGCGCACCTTTGCTCATACTTCTCTTATCTTCTCCTCGCACAAGGCTGAGGTTCAGCCTCTCACGTGTGCTTCGACCTGCTCTTCCACGCTAGAGATTGCAGTGCACCAACAGCACAGCCGCATATTTGCCACCGCGGTGCACAAGACTGGTTCTCGGCATTGTTTTACTGCCTACCAAAGTCTTTCATGAGGTTGGAGATCGCAGCGCAGCTACGACTGATACCACTATCAAGACGCAGGCAAGGATTGTGATCCGTGAAAGATACTTAATTACGCGACGGTATCGCAGTGTGACAACAAATAGTGAACACAGATATGGCACACCTCCCCCACATGCAGCTGTCAATGACAAAGACCTTTATGTTCGAAGGTAATGTTGAGGCAGCTCTCTCGAACGTATTGCCGTCCAATGCCCTGACCACACGTTCATTCACTGCGAACAAAAACGTGGCGAAAAGTGGGTTACGAGCGGCATGCACTCCTTTCTGCAACTGCTCGTCTACGCTGGGAATTACAGCGCAGGGACGCTCTCACCCAATTGTTCAGATTTGTTTCCTAGCCAATCAATACCCAAGTACCATCTCAATGACCAATCTGAAGCAAGGCCAGGCTCCAGTCTGAGTCAAGGACGCACTCTGTTGTTCTACCCAACCAGGTAAGTCGCCAAGGACGCCTCATCTTCTCTGATGCACACTGCCCCACTCTCGAAAGGTCTTCCGCGCTATAGATTGCAGTGCAAAGTATGGGGGCCGAAACCACTGAAGTCGTTATTCACTCCTGCCTGACCATCTCGTTCCACTGTTTGACAAGGTTGTGATAAGTTGAATTTGCACCTCTTGCAATCATCTCAAACCTCTGCGCCGTACGAAAGCATTGCGATCCGTACCCTGCATATATTTGAATGGTTTCTAAGAATACTATGAGCCTCCTTCGGCGATATACTCAGGTCGAAAACCTAGGAACTGTGGTATACTCTATTTCGTGTCCTACCTTTCCAGTGACCAAACATCATTTTCGACTGAATAAACGATTCAAACTAATCCCACTTTTCTCCATCTATCCCGTCAGCCTCATTACCCTACCTTCTCATCCACACTAAGAATCGCAGTGCGGGCTGTTGAACCTTCAGCTTTGTCCCATCAACCTCTCTTCCGCGCTAGAGATCGCAGTGCAATATGCGTCGGCTGACTAGATGTCTTCCACTCCCTGAAACTGCAATATCCAACCACATATCAGATCAGCCTCGTGTGAACTGCTCTTCCACGCTAGAGATTGCAGTGCAAGATCCATGCCGGATTCGACAAGGAGCATCTACTAACCACGATGGTCAAACATCCCGGAATCTGGCTGCCTAGATGTTCGTTCGCTTTCGGCATAGCTTTCTCACCGGTCAGCCATGTCTGTCTGCTCCTGCGCGCTAGCAATTGCAGTGCAAAAGCCTCAAGATGATGATGAGAAGGAGGATATTGGTTTAACGCCTTAAGCAGCCTCCCACGAGGCATTCTGGCGGGCACCGCCGAGGGATTATAGTGGTGATGCACTACCTCGTGTGCCTGTTCTAGATGAATTAAATACATGTCGGAGGGAAGAGGAAGACCTCCGGTTGTCTCTCATGCCCGTTGTGTTCAGCGGCAACATTGCCTAGGTAGTGTTGTAGCGGCGCACCGCCAAAAGCCTCAAGAGACGCTGCGTAAGGCTGGTCTTCAGCATTGCCTCCACCTGTTCTTCTACGCTACAGATTGCAGTGCATCGGTACTAGATCGAGCTGCATGCGCAACATCCTCCATACCTTCACTTCAAGCATTCGCTCACTTCCTCCTCTACGCTAAAAATTACAGTACAACCATAATTTTCCCTTGCTAAAACTCATTGGTACCGAGTCCTCGGATTTGGGTCATTTACCTTCCACACATGACCCTGGTATTCTGTTCACATGGCTCGTCGCTGCAATTTTCGAGAAGTGGATACAATGTTCCAGGTAAGTAATCCCTTCACAGAAGCAAGGAGACTTCTCCCTGATACACTCATAGCTAATATTCGGCCTTCTCTCCTCTCTCCTCATTACGCCAGGGATTACAATGCAAAACACATTTTATAACACAGGATATAACCTATGCCAGAACCAGATCACCAGTTCCTGAGACTGCTCATCCGCACTAGATATTGCAGTGCAACCCGCGCTCATAACATTGGGGCCCGTACATGCGCAATCGTCCTTTCCGGTGAGCAATAGGATTCTCGCTACTGGCTACTCCCCTACCGCCCTTCATGGATACCTAGGTATAGCCGATAGTAGACACGCATGGTGGTAGTTCGTCCACCCTAAAGATTGCAGTGCAGCCTCTTTGACTGGTCACAACCTGACTTACAAGGCGGACAAGGCGGCCACGACTGCCTTACACTATACCTAGGTACCCTTTCTTTTCATTCGTTCGCCTACCTGAGTATCCTGCGGGCGTCTAACCGTTGCTTGCTCTCATTTACACAGAGTCCTGAGCAGGCTCCTGTTCGAACATGACTTTGTCAATTGGGTTTGCAAGCCTCCCTCGTTAACCACAGCGAATGTACTCCAGAGCTCTTAGGCACAAGCCCTAGTCAGCTGTGTGCTCTTCCAGCATCTGGATAGCTCACGTCAAAAACCTGCCAAGACATTGAGAAATACCTTCGTTGGTTGGGTTTGCAAGCCACCTTCGCTAATCACACCAATGTTCTCGAGGGCTCTCATGCATGCCACCCAGTCACTTGTCCGCTCTCCCACGCTAAAAATTGCAGTGCACTTCCAAGACTGTAAGCCACTCTTGCAGTCAGATGAAAAGACCAGACGGCTGCTTACCACCTACACAACAACGCCTCTAAAACCTTCAACCAAAATACACGCTTTATGCTTCAGAACGTGGACTATAGTCCACCCTTTTTCTTGATTTTCTTGCTCTTGTATTGGGAGATTGCAGTGTTGTAACAGGTTTGTTGTTCCTGGATATGCCAGGGTCATCCTGCCTGGGCACCGGTTGGACTTAGCGTTCGTCCACGCATAGCCCTGTGGTCACGTAAGCGGATGGCTCTTCTACGCTAAAGATTGCAGTGCACAGATTACCCTTTCGATATCCTCCTGTGAAAAATCACTGCTACCACTACGGAAGTCACACGTCCAGTCTGCGATATGCCATGGCAAAGGAGTACCCTTGAGGATATACTAACGTCGATCATTACCAAATCTACACCCTCCCACATCCTTCCGATCTCATCACCTCTCAGCCTCACCACCACCATCCCTCCTCCCCTCCTCAACCCTCAACTCCTCGCGACTCCCCTGACCCCTAATCCCCCTCCAAAGCCCACTCAACGTACTAAGCGCACTCGAACTCCTTCCCCTGCCCACTCTCCTCCCACCACCTGGCGTCCTCTGCCCAGCAGCAGCATTACCACCATCCTCGCCATTCGCACTATCCCTTGTCCGCCGTCTACTGAGCGACTCACCAACAACCAATCCCGCACCCATCATATCATCCTCTCCTTCTCTGGTGTCTCTATCGCGCGCAGCTAAAGCAAGGAGGCTTTCTCTCCTCCGTACGCTATTTCCGCGTTTCAAGTCTTGAACCATAGTGCTTAGACTCGTACTCAGTGGACTTGCTAGCAAAGGACCACCAGCGATACTATTCCTTGCACTTTGAACCCGATCACTCGTTCTCAATCTCCTTAGTCCAGATCCCGGTGTTGTAGGCACTTCGTTCGTGGATTTGCCCCGCGTGGGCGTGCTAGGCGTCGGGAGATCAGTATCAGAGACTGAGACTAACGGCGCGGGTGCGGCTTCAGAGGGCAGGACGGGTGTGGAAGTATGCCGGTTTAGGGGCGGCGTGCGGTAGGTGGGTTCGTTGGGTTGAGACCAGGGGTTTGCGACGAGGGAGGAGATTATGTCGGCTGTGGCTGGGCGAGTGGGGTTTGGTGGTGTGGAGGGATCAGTAGGTGTGAAAGTGATGTTGGGGGTTGAGGGACGTGTGTCTTCGTCTTCATCTTGGTAGCGGCGTTGAACAGATGCAGGTGGTGAGAGTGCTCGTGTGGTTGAGGAGCGGCGCGTACTTCCAGGGCCTTCTTCGCTAGGCTCGTTGATGGCGTCTGTGTAAGTTTCGCCGGCGAGATGGATGGCGTCTTCAGGTTCAGGGTCGTGGTCGGAGTCTGAGTCGTCATGGTTTGATGGGCGGCCGCTGGTGATAAGCCAGACGCCGAAGAAGGTTAAGGCGCATCCGCCGACGAACTTTCCGGCGTCTTCTCCTGAGGTGCGCTCGAAGTCACGGTAGAGGACTGCTGAGCCGCCGATGACGGAAAGAGTGAAGAGGACGAATTGAACGGGGATGACCTGTGTAGCGTCGAACCGTTGAAGAGCTCGGTTGACGTATTTGATCTGCATAACTGCTGTGCCGACGAGGATGGCAACCAGTAGGTAGAAGACTGGGAAGGTGATGGCGCGCCAGAGCGTGTATGAAAGTAGCGAAGCAACGCCTTTGGTAGACAGCGCTGTGTATCCGCCTAGAACCCGTTAGCCCTTCATCCTCAAGATCATTTCTGCGTATACATACCAAACAACCCAACAAGTCCCAGATCAATCAAAATGTTCTTCTCCCCATACCGATTACTCGCCACCATCAGCACCGCAATAACTCCCACCGTAATCCCCAAATACGTCTCAAACTCCCACCGTCTTATCAGATCCCAGATCTCTCCAGGACCCAACTTGGGGTTATTGTCATTAGCCGAAAGGACAACGGTAACCGCGCCTCCAACAGCAATAACAACACCCAGCGCGTCTCTCTTGCGGAAAGGCTCTTTGAGCATAAACGGCGCGATGATGCAATTCGAGATAAGCGCAACGACGCCGAGCGGGGAAACAATAGACGCAGGCGCGAATCCGTACGCGAGGAAATTCCCCGCCTCGCCGACTGTCATGAGAATGATGCCGAACCACCAATACGGCGATTTGAGATACGACGTCTGCTTGAACACCTCCTGCTTGCCCGATTCGTTGCTATCTTCTCTTCCCACCGTCGGTCTCGCATCCCGGGGTATTAACGGATCGCTCTCGGATGCCTCGAAAATATCTTGTTCCTGCCCGTTACTCCTCCTTCTCCTCTGCTCAACCATGCCCTCACCTCCCCTCTGCCTCAACCCCATCTTCTGCACCTCCTCCGCCAGTCTCCCCGCATCGTCCATGCCCGCTTTCCGCCTCTTCCTCTGCCGTTCTTTCTCGTGGAATTCGCGGTCTAACCGTATATGCGCGTATCGCTGCATGTTTAGCGCAAACGAGATGAGCACGTTGCCTATTATCGCGGTGATGATGCCGATTAGACTGCTCCAGTTTTCTGTGTATCCGCCGCCGCCGCCGCTTCCTCCGCCCCCGTTTGCGGAATGAGATAACCATGATAGCGCGGCGTATGGCGTGGGTGTTGTGGGTATTAAGCTTTGTACGGCTGTCGCTGAGCCTGCAGCGACCGGGTGGCTGGGTGGTATATGCATCGTTATCGCTGTGCGGTAGGAATTCGAGAGGGAGCTCGTCGTTCAAGCAATAGCTTCGTCCGCGCGTCGTCACGTATCGCCGCTCGTCCTCGTGGAAGCTTGTTTGTGGGGGTGCTTCTTCTTCGTTCCCTCGGTTCTATTCGTTTCGTATCCTAGATTGCGACAAAGAAGCTATGTACAACGAAGGCGTCCAACGAAGGCAGAAGAAATGGAGACAATAACTATATGCGACCAAGGATACAGGGCGGTGACAACATGTTGTTTTTGCCCAGAAGTTTCGGCGGTGCTACAGAGTCGCGGCCCGTGGCTGGAAGTTGGGCTTGCTTGGGGTCGGCTTGGAGCTGGTGCCGTATGCCGCGCGACATTTTGCAGGGTTCAGAGATGCTGGCCCACGCTAGCCGTCACCGTGCATGGTGGATCCGTCGACTCCGGACGACACGCAGAGTATCACGGAGATGAGCAGGATCTAGATGAAGTACCCGGGAAGCACAGGTAGTTCATGTTTACATGCTCTTGTCTGCCGCACGTGTTCAACCCACTACTCCATAAGGATGAAATGCGACAATACTTCTTTACGCAGTTCTGCAGCGCGATAAGCAAAAAGCGCCTCTCCCTCCCTACACTGGTCAAACTGTAATCACCAACACTCGTCATAGAACGATCTCGAAACCGCAACAGAAACTCTTCCATAGAATTTTCATGAAAATACTCATTTTGAGATATAATGTACAATATCACACGAACTAGACGTCCATGTTGAATAAAGAAACCCTAGGTGCGCATAATCTTGCCAGCCGACATGCAAGTTGTACCCATTAGCACTTGGCCTAATACGCCACCGATCAATGCAAGCGCTATTCTTATGCTTTTTTAGTATCCGATGTCGTGTCCTTCAGTCTGGTATGTTTCAAGCAAGAGATATCTGCGCCTCTCCGTTGGTCGCCTCTGCAACACCATCGCCGTCCTGCTCCATGCTCTCGGCGACGTTGTCAGGCTCAGCAGCGAGAAGTCTGATGCGAGCTTCGACCGCCTCTTCGCCAACGACAGACTCTTCAACTTGCGCCTTGCGGATGAAGACAGTCTGCCAGCGCTTGCCCCAGGCCTTGATGAGCTCGACTTCCTCTTCGGTGAGTGAGCCGTTGGAGGACTTCTCGATCAGAGTGTCGGCGGAACCCTCTGCGACACCACGCATGGAGTCTTCAATGTACTTGAACAGCTCGCGCGCGTTGTCACGGTCCTTGGCAAGAGTGGCCTCAACCATCTCGATCTGTTCTTGAGGGAGACCCTTCTGGAGGCGGGCAGACGCGATCTGACGGTTGCGGTTGGTGACCTTGGCGACTGTGTTGCTAACCATCTCAAAGACCCAGCTCTCGGTCAGAGCCTCGCCAGCTCCCATGTGGCTACCGAATACCCACTGAACGACAGTCATCGGCGCAAGAATAGTATAGTTGAGCAGAATATCGATGATGCGGACCGCAACACCAGGCTGATCTTTCCAGTACTCGACGACGCTGGCAACAATCTGACGACGCGCGACCTCGTTCTGTGAGAGCTCCAATAGCCTGTCCTTGCCGCGTTCAATGCAAGACAGAACGTGAGACAGTGACTTCGCTCCCAGTCGGCAGATGGCGGTGACGAAGGCGTCAGTCGAAGGCACAAGGACTTCGGCAATGCCCTGCTCAAGAGCCTTCTCGTGAATGCTGTCGATAGTGACTTGGATCTCCTCGGCGGTAGCCTTCTTCCTCAGTTGGCTGAGCAGCATCTGGCCTTCAGCAGCGTAGGGCGTTTCTGATGTGTTGTTAGCAGGATGCATGTTACATGCAGAGTATACATACGTTGGTTGTCGTATTTGAAGTCAGGGCTGTTGTCTGCATCTAGACGCTCAGGAATCATGGTGTGCATCGGCTCTGGCAGCGTTGATCGAATGCGCTTGGCAAAGGACAACCTTATTTCCTTATCCAAAGTAGCAAGGATAAAGGCCTTCTTTGGGTGCAAGTTTGACAGCTCAAGATCCTCAAGCCTACACTTGGGTTAGCATAAATCCAGCACATAGAAAGAAATTTAGACATACCACTCAGTCCACCTCCATCGGAACTCGAAGTTGCTGAGATGGTGCGAGAACCAGTCGAGGAATCGGTAGCCGAGCTCAAGATCCATCATCGGCAGATTCTTGTAAATGGTACGGATAGCACGTCCAAGAGACGGGGCGATAGCAGCAGGCGCTACCTTGCAGCATTGTGTGATGAGTGCGTGGTAGTAGACAAGCTTATGTTCAGCGCTGGGCAGCTTGAACAGTTGCGAGAAGATAGCATCGATGATCATATCCTCTGACTTGTACTGAATCTTGTCGCCAACCAGCTCACGGAACTTGTCGAAAGGCGAGCCGCGCTTGGCAAAGATGTCAACGGACCAGTAGCAGTCAACATCAACAAGAAACTTGGCGACCATTTCACGGTTAAAGTCGAGCTGGTTGATGGTGTCAACGATGGCATCTCGTACAAGTGATGAGGCAATGTCGGTGGTCTTGGGGACGGTGTCGACTTCCTGATCAGCGAACAGGGAGAAGTACGCCTCTGGGAAGACAGGCCGTGGGCCAGGGTTGACTGGTGACGGAATGGTGAAAGTCGGGAAGGCGTGAGTCTGAGGAGCCGTGGGCAGGGCGTCTTCTTCCTTCGCATCCATTCTACGCAAAGCCTCGAGGTCAATGCGTGGAAGGCATCTCAGCTCAAAACTCGACTCGGCTTCAGCTGACAACTGTGCTTGGAGAAGGCCAATGACACTGTTGTGGTCTACCGGCTTCGACTCAAAGTCACCGACGTAGGAATGAATCAGGCTCTCGATCGGGACCGCGTTGCTCGCTACGATGCCGGTGTTCTTCAGCAGTTGTTGCGCTTGTTCGTGGAAACGCTCTCCTCCGGCGACGATGGCGTAGGGAATGGTAAGAAGGATGATCTTGACGAGTTCGATACCGACAACCTAGCACTGTTAGTAGATATCCCGCACCATTATACGAAGAACTTACATCGTTCTCGTTGGCACTCTGGAGGTCAACGACTGTATCGAAGAGTTGTCCAAGGAAAGTGAAGACGCCGTCATCCTCGTAGAGCGACTGCAGGCACGCGAAGAACCTCAGAAGCAACTTGAACTCTTTCCACTCGCCCGCATTCAGCGCCTCCTGTGCCCGGTCTCCGACGCGCTTCATGGCCTCGATGGTAATTTGTGGCTTGACATCGTTGGCGTAGTAAGCGACGGCTGCGACGAACGGAATCTTGAAGGGCTGCTCGATGATCCTAAGACAATTAGTGAAGTGGGAGTCCATGGGGAAATTTTTTCTGCTTACAGCTGTACCAAGACATCGAAAAAGTCAGAGCGAAGACGCTCATCGTCAAAGTGCTCGCCAAAGTACTTTGCGATCTCGATAGCCTCGTCCTGTGGGAGCTTGGTGGAACTGGCAATGTTCAATAGCAGTCTGCGCAGCTTGGGGAACGGCGGCTCCTCGTATCGGCGACGTGGACCTCCGTCATCGTGACGGCGGCGCTGGGGTCCGCGACGGTCATCACCGCGGTAATGGTTGTCGTTGTCATCTGCGCAACGCTGTTAGTACAGTGGAAATGCCAAATACACAAGCATGTCCATAGGATAGGGAGGATGTCTTAATTTGATGCCCATTGCAGCCATCGAATCAATGAAGCTGTCCAGCCCACCCATGCAACTTGCGCAAGCGCTTATAACAAGACAAGTGTAGACTAACCATCACGGCGGCGCTTGTTGTTTCCTCGAAAGTTTCCACGATCGCGCCTGTCATCACGTCGGTCCTCGCGCCTATCATCGCGTTCTTCTCTGATGTCTGCGTCCGCCATGGTTGCGACCAAGACTGCGCGTGCCTTCTCTTCTAACGTCTCCGGAGAATCTTCCCTCAGTTGCGACGGGATTCGTGTAGAGTTGGCGCGGATGTCGTCGTGATCGTAATATACGGGTTGACGTGAGGGGTAGAAGTCGCCGTGTCGATGATTATACACACGGTTGCGGAATGGGGCGGTTCGGGTGTGATGTTGGCGGATGGTTCGCGATAGTGAATCGTCGAGTTGGCGCGGAAGTCGCACTGGAGCTTGCGCATCGAAAGGGTTAGTGGCATTTGCTCCCGTTCCAGGCGTATCTTGGCGCTCGGTCCATGCACCCTCGACGTCAACGTCCATTGCCGAATCATTGAATGGTGAATTGCCACGAACAAGATGTTGCTGCGCTTGCTCATCGGTCAACTCGAGCAGGGCCATGCGATCTGGCGACATGAACGTGGAATCCATGTCTAGGTTGTTCATGTCGTTGCTTTTACCGTGATGTTGTTGACTATTGGTTTGCAACTGACTAGCTCTTCGACCAAGACTTGGTTCTGGCAAGGAAAGAGGCGTAGACGACAGGTTGAAGGCTCTATATACAGATTCATCACGTATACTGAAGCGAATAAGGTGAGGCTGTCAGTAAAGGTAAGCCATGTTCACTTGAAAACCCTATGCTTATCTCTAGGTAAAGGCAAAAGGTGATCCGATCCGTACAGACCCAGATCAATCATCCTGACGTCTCAAACGAAGATTTTAACGCACTGGTGAGAGTTGGGTGTTACGAACTCTGCAAAGGATCTGGAAGATCTCACAGAGTATATCACGATATTTCACAAGTCCCAGAAAAAGTAAAATGTGAAAGGAATCTCCGCTATAGAAAGTCTGCTGAGAGGTGGGCGAATAGCAGGATAGTCATTGTCCATTGGACATTCGTTCCGCTGTAAATGCGCAGTGCCTCGCTCTAGTACTTGTCCGAGACTAGCCATCCATTGACCAGCCCGTATGATCCCACCCCAGGGATAGCATTCCCAAGTTCATAAAAGCCTCATCGCCCGATGCGCAGCCCGCTGAACTCATCTTGACAGAAAGAAAACTCCCGCATGCAGCCCAGGTGACGCATAGTAACCATTGTTGGAGCATCGGAAATCGGATGAGCGAGACCCTTCCTTCGTATCCCATACTCAATACATCCCGAATTTTGCCCGTTCCTCATTTCCTTCATAGTTGCAACCTGCTGCACCCATTCGTCATCTCAAAGGGGATCG